CCCTGCCCCCCCCCCGACCCACCCGGCACACAAAAGCAGCGTAATTAACCGTCCGAAGGAAGCCGCGCCTCTGACAGCTGCAAAGAAGAAAATACCTTAGCGGCGCAGGCTGCGAGGATGACGGCGGCCGCCGCTGCGGCCGAGCGAGGGGGAGCCGACAGCTAGCTGCGAGCTCTCCCAGCCCTGGACAAAAGCGCCTCCGCGCCCGCCGCTCGCGCGGGTCACCTTGCTTGGATGCAGAGCCCCCCCTGCGCGCATCTCCTCTGGGCGCTCTGAGAGCCCGGGACCGGCCGGGAGGACCGGGGATGCGGGGCTGCCGCGGCGCGGGGCTCGCCTTTGTCTGCGCATAACCAGGGAGGCCTCGCGAAGCAGCCCTACCGGCGGAGGTGAGTCCACGTTTCATTTCCCCCCCACTCTGCCCAGGAGGGGTGCCCCAGACTTCTGCTGCTGCAAACCCCCTTCGGGCTGAGGGGGCTGGTGGGAGCAAAGAATCGGGGTCCTGACTCTTTGGGTGGGAACCCATCCATTTTCCCTTCCGCCCGCATTCACACCCACAGCTCCCTCTCCATGCCCATCGCTCACCTGGAAGCAGAGAGGCGCACGATTTTCAGGACGGGTTTGGAGATTAGGCAGATAAAACCCTCAGCCCCTCTCCGGGACGCTTTCTAAGAGACCAAAATATCCACCTCCCACCTCTGTGCCTTTCCTATTTATAACACCGGGAGCGATCTGGAAAAAGGATTTGAGAGATGTGTACATAAAGGCTTGCCTAGGGGTGGGAGGAAGGGGGAGGTTTGAAGAGATTCCTCCCTCTCTCTCTGAACTTGAATGTGATGGGCACCAGGGCGCAAGGGGACACTTCTCAGCTATCCCAGCCTTTGCCTTATCTGCCACTCTTAAATGTGAAGTCAGGATAGGAGAGTGGGAGGGGACAGGGCCTATTGGGGGGGGAGGGCTACCCACACCCACATTTAGAGGATCTTGGGGCGACATGTGTGGCTCACAAGGTCTGGGCTGTAGGTATGTGTGTATGTGGGGGCGGGGTCCTTCCTAGGGGCTGAGGTCACACCCAGCTCAGGATAAAGAAAACTGACGCAGAAAACCACTCCCTTCAGATAGGAAATGAATTTCCATTGGCGTGAACTTTCACTTGCAGTAAGGTTTGGGTGGTGGTTGCCTGCACTGGCAGGAAGATTTTTTTTTTTTTTTTT